TAATTTTATTTAATAAATTTATTAGAACTTGCATAGTTTATTTAAATATGTACAACGTAATAAAATGAATAAATTTATAAGAACTGAAGATAGTTGGACTCTAAAGATGAGAGAATTTCTGTTTAAATAGTTTAAATTGCTTATATAGTTTAATTTCAAATATATATGATTAGTAACTTTTGTAAATGATTCACTGCGCTCTTTACACTCAACTCGTTCTTTATAACTCGTTTCCTTTGCCTCTCTATCCCCTCATCACATGAGAGCATTAGGCTAAGAAACCTAACATCAATAGAGACGATTCTAATTGAAGCCGTTTCAATTTAGATTCAACTCGTTATTTAGTTTCGCTCCTAGTTTTCTATCTGTCTTCTATTTACTATACTCTTATAAGCTTACCTTAATTTACTCGCTACTTTCTTCGATTCGTTATCTATTTCTACTCGTTACTTACTCATGCTCATGCTCCACTCGTTATTTTGTTTTTCCAACTCTCTACTCGTTACTTGCTCAGGCTCTTTCTGCTGTACTCTTACTCCACTTTACTCTTGTTGTGCACGTTACTTCATATTACTCATTGATTTGTGGTACTCGTTTTTTTAGTTTCACTCTTTTAAAGGCCATCGAGCGACTCGTTTCATTGTAGCGCATTGGAAGAGTAACAAATTTCAACTTCAAACAAAATGCTCGCATACTAATGCAGCTGTTGACTAGGCTGCCCTGCCGGCTATAAATGCCAGTGACAATTTGCAGTGGGTCTGCAAGTAGCTCCACCCAAGCGCTCACTCTACTTTTCTTTGTCACCCTCAATCCCTCCCTCTCTCTCTCTCTCTTTCTCTCTCTCTCTCTCTCTCTCGGCCTCCCACACAGCCAATTCTAAGCCAAACCAAACACCGCCTAACGGACCAGGTTGGGGGCGTTTGAGGCGGCTGCTGTTGCTGCGGCACAAAAGTCATTTTTGATTGTTTTCATGAAAATGAACATAGAAAAATTATAATTAAAATTCATATGGAAATTGTCGAAAAAACAGAGTAAAAAAAAAGAAAAACAAAAACAAAAACATATTCTGCTCGGGCCCTGTCCGAACAATGGAACGTTAGCCTTGTAGTTTCTGTTGTTGTTGCTGTTGTTGGCGCAACTGCAGGCCAAAAAAGATTTCATCTGAAAAACCTAAAGACCAAAGAAATGCAACTGGGGGCAATGGAAATTTGTATTCGGGGTCAGGTGGCGAGAGGTTGGCGAAACGGGCCAACTGAGCTGCGGGCGTATTGTTTGTGGAACATGTGTTAAGCACACACACACACACACACACACACATACACAGACACTACGTAAAACGACAACAATGTCAGGTCTAACAATATTAGGAGAACGGCCTCTCCACCTGAGCCCAGGCTACACAGAGACTACCAACCTCTCCTGGCCCCACCTCCTACCATTCTCTTAATCCTTTGCCCCTGTCCCTGGTCCTGCCCCTGCTCCTGTCAGCACCGCCCACAAGTATGCAAAGTGGTCAGGCCAACGCATGCCGGCTGCTCATTTTCTTGTTGTCGTTTCATTTTGGCACTTTTCCTACACTTTTATGCGATAAAATATTTAATTATATTTGGCAGCTTGTTTGTGCATTGTGCGGTTCGCCTTTGCCTTTGCATTTGCCATCATCCAATTAACATTGCCCTGGGGAAGCAGCAACAGCAGCAGCAGCAGCAGCAGCTCCAGTCACTGTAGTAATACGAATAGTGGAGTCGGCTCAAATCAGCGACTCTGAAGGCGACCCAGCGATTGGAATGGGCACAAAACTTCGGAATGTAACGCAAGCTCGTGTAGTCAGGCATTATTATATGTATAATGATTGAGAGATATCAGGCTGCGTGAATAGGCAGCACTAGCGAAACGATTGGAATTGAAGCACTCGTTTAATAGCTGCCGCTTAAAAGTATGCAACGATTTTTGTTCAGCACTTGGAGCTCACTTTATTTCAAACAGAAACATAAACAGAAACAGAAAAAAAAACAACACACACACAGAGTCAGCTTTTCGCTTTAGCCAGGTGGCACTGCGGGCGCAGTTGGTGCGGCCGTTGTTGTTGTTGTTGTAGTTGTAGGCGTGGTCAACGGCCGCTTAATGATCGTCACACGTATGCAGCCGGCATGATCGACATGCTCGCCCACAGGTGCCGCATGCAACCGCCCCAGGAGGGAGAGGAGGAGCAGCAGCCCAAATATGTTGAATAAGCGGCGCATCTGTCACTGAACCACGGAGAACCACTCAACTTGTTGTCGAACTACAACTGTGGGCTGCACTCGGCACTCGACGATGATTTATAGTTGTCTTCGTTGCGGAATTCAACAATTATTGCCAACTTTATATATATGTATGTATATGTGTGTGTATATAAATATTAAGGTTTTTATGGCAGCTGCAGCTGCGTTTAGTTTCATTCATATGATATAGCCAGATGCTCAGATAAATAATACGTTCACAATGAGCATTGTGAATTATAGTGAATGAATGCATTGGGCGAGGCTTTTGCTGAATTCATTTTATCAAATGCCAATTCAAAATCTATGAATACA